CTGTAGATGAGCAATTGGCTCAAGATCTGGGGTGCGCAGATCACACTTTCCATCGCAACCCACAAGACAGTGCGCCACCCGAAGGCACCCGAGACCGCGGTCGTCGACACTTCAAGCGCCCAAAGGCGCCCAGGACTCTCATAGCCATTCCCCGTATTTGATCAATCCGACTGACGAGGGCGTGATCGAGTGTGTAGGTGGCAAGGTATGATGACTCCGCGACACCATCGAGCGCACGACACCAGCAATCGCAAAGGCGTGCTCCGCACCACCATATACGTCATGTATCATTCGTGCGCTATTCATTCGAATTGTAAAAACTCCGAACGAAGGCAACAATTCCCTCAGGCCGCATGGCCGGCATCAAAGTGCCCATGCTCGAGACGATGTACTCGTACTTACATGACAATTGGTAACTCAATGTTCTCGTGTAGTTCATCAAATTGTTGCACCAAGCCACCCATGGCCACAACCAATGTCCAAGGACAAGCAACAGCCATGACGAGGTCCTGCGCACACAAGTTCTTACAAGCACACAACGATTCACATTTTCGGCAAAGTCGAGGTAACAATTCATAAAATCAATTCGTTATAGTGTGTTGTCTCGTTTACGCTTGCGAACTTCATGAAGCAGATTGGAGTATGTAGAGCGAAAGAATGTTTCGAATTGCCGTTGATATGTAGAATACGTGCGCTTAGTTGATGCTCCATGAAAGGTGGCTTGAATCGTCTCCTTCGTCGGCAACTCGTCCATGCTTCGCCTGCTCGAGCGGAAATGGTAGTTTCGTGACACCGATTTGATCGTTTCAAAATTATTTCGATTTTTGTGAATGCTGTACATGTTAAATGTTTGTTCAATGTTGTCGCCTGGACACTTACATCGACCAATCGTTCGGCGAGAGTACTCCATTACCAACCACATCGTGAGCAATTCTCGGATGGCCAACCAAATGGCCGAAATTTGTTGTTTTGAATGTCGTGTCTGTATATTATGTATTGCTTAATATTGACGAGATAAAACGTCCAATAGACCTCTTGTTCAATGACTTAGTTTCATGTCAGAACGTGGAAAGTGATCATTGATCGAAGGATTGACAAAATTAATGTATTTGTTCATTCAATATATATATATATATATATATTTCTACGATTGAATGATATCGTTGTCGATTGTCAATCTGATCATTTGGTCCTTCACAAAAAGGCATATGCTATTTCATCGATACGGTAGGTTTGTTTTGTAACCTTCTACATGGACATCACCGGAGTACAGAACATTTGAAGTATCATAGGCCCACCAAACGATGTACCTTTTGGGATAGGTATTTGCATCAGTTGATGTAGTCACGTTTAAGACACGCTATATGGGCGATAATTCTCCCTGGCGATGACACCACCTCGAAATTCCATTTTTTTACTGCCATTTGTCTGAATTCTGTAGCAAAAGACACTAAGTGGTTTTACTTTTAAGTATATGACCCGGGTTCAAACCCCTCTAAGTATTAATTTTTTGAATTCTTCGTTATCAAAAACGTCAAATAAAAAAAACTCCAGTTAGAAAATCGACCGTCGTCGATCAACTTGGGGCGACGTGAGCTCCAGTCGCCTTGCACGACGGGCACGATACTGAGCCTGCGCTCGACTGCGCCTTATTGACATGCTGCTGTAGCGAGACAAAACACCATGATAGTAAATTCCGTCAGTAACTCGTAGCGGCATCCACGACACATGGGCGTTGGTGAGAGCACAGAATAATCTTGAGACAACGTCAAAACGGTTTTCGTTCCACTTGTACGTCTCGCGCATAATTTTCCAAAGGCTGCAGATCCGACCAAAATAATTCTCGACGAGAACCCGGTCGGAAGACACACGCCCATTTCGTTCCAGCACTCAGGCTGAGAGGAGTCCACCTTGGGGTCTTCGAGTCGGGTGAATTGCTCGAACCTCACTTCTTAACCCTTGATTGATAGCCCATGTCCACAAGGACACTCAAGAGTCTGGGTACTCGTCGGAACCATCGTCGTGGTCCACCGTGCCCAATTCGGGCGCAAACTTTCGAAGCATTTCTTGGTGGATATGCCGACGTTGCTTGAAAATGGTCAAATCAGAAACTGAGCCTGGTGTGTGGTTTGACATATCGACTGCAACCCCGGGGTAAGCAACGGAGTACTCTAGCTTCAGACCGTAGAGCTTGTGATTTCCCGAGAAGTAGTGCTTGGCTTCGTCGAAACGTCCAGTAGGTCGATACGAGGGCTGAAACTTGACAATCGTACAATACAGTGCTGACGGAAAGTTGGCAAAAGCCTTTCCTTGTTGGACATGACAGGTCATGTTGACAGGCATAACATAGTGCTCATAGAGAATTGGTTCGACGATGTCAATGACACGCTGGATCATCTTTTCGAATGTTGGAGCCTTCATGTTGAAGTCGAGGGCGTGTTTGTCTCAAGCGTTGCAGTGCTTAAGCACAGACAGGTGCATGAAAAATGCATCCTTTGGTGAGGTTTTTGACTTGCGGCCACGTCCCATCATCCAGCTTGTCACCATGGCGGGTTCGACTAAGGCCCAAATTGTTTCGATCTCGGCCAGAGTAAAGTTCGACATGGTCGTGAGGGCTGCGTTGCCTCCTTGACTGAAGAAACTGTCGATTACTGGAGTGGGCGTATCATCGGCTTCCTCCACTTGTTGCGAGTGGGCTTGGCATACCGTACTCAACTCGTTGAGGCGTGGGCGTCGTCATCGACTTGTTGTTGGAGGCGCTCACGATTGCAATGGAGTCCATGAGTTTGTTCAAGAGTTTTTGATTGATTGTGAGTTACGACTCCGCGCTATCTTTTAATGTGTAGAGGCGTAGCATAGCTCAAGTTGTGTAGAGTACTGTCGGGGAGCTTGTAAATGCGGAATATCTTTGTCATATTGTTTTATATAGTGTTTATTTTTCATTGACTCAGTCTTGAGAAGTTGGTCATACTCTTCGTCATTCACTGCGATATTAGGATTTTTCCAATCCTATTGCATTTATTTGATTTTATTCCAGATACGTTCAAATAATATCCACTTGAAATAGAAATCATTGGAGCTTAATAAGCTCCAAAATTGATTTCACGAAAGCTGATTGGAGTATGCGCTGTATTATATTTCAGGGTGCTGAAACCGTATATTTTGTCCAAAAATACAAATTCCACATGAACTTGGAAGCATCACGCCAACTGATCGGAACACGTCAAAAATCGCAGGGACAACCAAAATTCGTTGAACTTACACAGGCTGATGCAAATACAATTTATCAAGTTTCCCCTTCCATACGTAATTCAAGAGTCTTCCAGCGTTCTCAATTTTTTTTGGCTCCCGCGTAATTGCTTTCC